AAGTTAAAAACGCATGTTGATCGTAGCGCGAACGAACATGACTAATACATTGAATATAATAAGTAAGACATGTCAGGTCGACAAGGAAAATAAAAAGAAGAAAGAACAAAATCAATACATAAACAATAATTTGTATAAACCGACAAAATGTAACTATTTAATGTCTTTAATAATTGTATATAAGTTTGATGTACACCTTCTGTATCTGAACATAAATTGAGACTATTTTGTTGCATGAGTATATAAAGGCACTCAGATATTAAACGTTTATTAAGAAAACGCTCTTCATCTAATATCACGACATTCTCTCAATCGAAGTCACGTTCAAATTCAATCCGATTTTCTGTGATCACCGATTGGTTGTTACTATTCCGGTTAATATAATTATGATGCTCAGTCAATCTAGTTTTAAATTTTTTTCCTGTCTGTCCAACATGCATCGCAGGATTTACATGAGATTTTATACACATAATTTTTTCTCTTTTTTCTTGGGAGAATGTCTTTATGTCTCTTGATCAAACTATTTAATTTATTTAAGCTAATAAAAGCTAATTTAGTGTTAAAGGTTTTACTAATTTTTTTAAATATTCATTACATTCGTATTTCTACATATAAATCTTTCAAGGTAAGTTATAATCTTATTTATAGTTGGAGATTATACTGCAAAATTCATTAAACAAAACACGTATATCTCATTTCATCATGAGAAATTGTTGCATGGTAATCGCTCCCGGAAGTGCGAATTGTCTTCGTCCTCTATAATCAGACAGAAATTTTATATAATTGCCGCATACTACGCAGCGGTATAAAATCATTTTCTTAACTATAAGCTACGATTCGTGTGGCGCAACTCTTTGAAAGCAAAGTTCCTATCAAACTTTTTCAATTTACGAGCTGTTCGATAAACTGAACTACGCTCAGATGATTTAGTTTTTACTGAACGATTGAAAAACAAAGCACACATATACGAGCTTTTGTAATATAGTGTTTCTCCGATGTAAATTATAGTTAATCCATTTATTTTTTTACGGCAAAATAATAAATAATTCTTTATGAAAAAATAAATCAAAATTATTTTATAAGTTTATACGATATTTTGAGAAAAACATCTTTAAAAATCAATCAAAAAAATATTTATTAAAAATATAAAACATATATATATATTTTGCGGTATCATTTTTTATTGTATTCTTATATGATTCCCGCCGTACTTCAATTTATTTATCTTATCTCATTTCTTAAGTATATGTCACGTTCAACCTGCGCAAAATCTACCTTTGTATACATCGAGCTGTATTTACTCGAGCATAAAACTTCGTGTTTGTCGGAATTAATTCACAAAACACTCTGCGCAATGTGTACATTCAAGAAAGAGATACATCACATCGTGCAGCTGTTTATTATGTTTTGTTTCTGTAACAAATCGTATTTGCGATTACAATTTTTGTTTTTTAATTTATATGATTTACGTAATTTATTCCCATCCTGCGGAAGAAATCTACATGCCAAAAACACACTCACTGTCAAGACGTTCAACCTGGCGATTTTTCTTAGTCATTACGAACTCATTGTGGGTGATACGAATTCCCACGATCATACAATTCTACCTTCGCACGAAACACTTTTCTAGATAGCTGAGAAATATATTCAGGAATCTCACTTCCTGTTCTTTCTCTGCGTAACAATTTTAGAGACTCTGAGGTTAGGCGTCAATTAATATCCAAGTTAGAAAATCTCTCACAAGTTGGTGAAATAATTTAATATTATTTGAAGCCATTTATATGAAATATATAAATATACATTGTTATAATGGATGATTAAATTAATGCAACTTTAAGCGATATGTTATGAAGCTGAAATTTTGAACTCAAATAAAAAGAAGATATTTTATGATAAATAAAAACGTAACTTTATACTATCTTTAAGTTTAAAACAACAATTTTTTCTATATATTTTTGTGAGCAAACTTTTTCAAAACAAATTCATGAAAACCGATTAGATTTCTCAGAAATGCTAAGTCATAAAAATTTACGATTCTCCGATTACTACGTATGTCGACTTGTTAGTCAGCGCGCTCCCCTTAGGTAGACGTAGATTCCCTCACACAATAGATTTATTCCTCCGAAGGGTGCAATGTGATATATATTTTGGTGCACGAGGTATAATAGCGGTTTTACCTTCCGATTCTAAAGCAACGCAGATGCGCAGAAACCGTTGGCATCTTGTACAAAGGGAAGACACACTCGCCACCCTTTAGAAATACGCTGGAATAGGATTCAGCAAACGTCCCTCAAGATTATTTTTAAAAATAATATCATGTATATATATATGTATATAATATTTACCGATGATGAACATATTATAGTTGTTTATCATTTATGCAGGATCAAGTAAAAGTTCTGACATGATTATGTTTTTCAATCGCGTGACTTCGCTCGACAACAATAATAAATCATTTTTGCGAATGTCATATGTGTTCACATGCAATGAAAAACATACGCTGAAATAAGGAAGTAGTATCGATCAAAGCAATGTAATATTTATGTAATGTTACATACGTTACACGATCGAGTGATTTATCATTGGCCAAGATACAGTTAAAATGAAAACAAAAATACATGTTTTAGAAGTTACAAATAATATGCTTGAGAGAAAAAGAGAGAGAATGAAAATGGAAAAATATACAGCTTCATGATAATTAAATGTATAAAGAAAATAAACAACATTATATAATAATTTTTGTAATTGAAATTCTCAAATATAATGTAATAAGATATAATATCGGGAATAAAAATAAAAAACAGAAATAAATATTTTAATTAATTATTTCTTCTTATAAATATGAAGACATTTAATAATTACAAAAATTTCAAAAATTAAATATATACATTAGTATATTAGGATAATTATTGTATGCAATGTGTTATAAAAATGCTTGATAAATATCGATTTAAAACTAAATATTTTTGTTAAACGTATCGTGCATCGTTGGGGAAGCCTTATTTATAGAAGCGACTAGAACTCGTAAATAAGTGAAAAACATTTTCATTTATCGCTGTCGCGGATTTTCCGCTTATTTCAATGCGATAAGGTACTTCGAGTAAGACTGAGTAACATCGGTACTGTGATATCTTTTATTTTCCGTAGTCATAAAACCTGCTTAATGCAAGCCGGAAATGTAACGTTACCAAGCCGGTTCTAGAACAGGAATCGCACGGTGTGCACGGTAGCACAATGACCGAAAGATTTCTTTTTGCCTTTCATAGGATGGTCACGATTGACTGGATTCTCGGTTACAGTTCATGTCCATCGTTAATGACACCATTTAGATACTGAAATTATATGAGTCCAATAAAAAAATAAGTCAAGTTACTGATACTAACATTATAATTAAAACTTTCTTGAAATACTATCAATTTCATAAATTTTTTTAATTTTATCATTTTAATGAAGTCTGAAAAATAAATAAATAAATAAATAAATTTATATGCATATAAATAAATATGTATATGTATGTGTATATTTAATTTAAAAAAATATATATTATTATGGAAGAGAATATCTACAAAATAAAGAATAGGTGCAAGGTAATTAACAAACAAAGCAATCTGAAGACACATTGACTATACATTTATTTTCGTAGTACAGAGCTGTAATCTCTGTAATGTAATCTCGTACATATATATGTGTATATACGTGTGTTTAAATGTATATGTAAATTGTTGCGTGTTTTTCACGCATATTACTACGGATTCTAGTCAGGGAAGTCAGACTAAACGGAAGAACTTGGAAGTAGCTCAATGGTCATGCTCTTATAAAAAGTTCAAAAGATTATCTAGAGTAGGCTACGGGTAAATCTAATAGGAAATTATAACAAGGAATTCGGTATAACGCTCGTAATTTCGTAATCACACGCTCATCATCTAGTTACTATTTACAAAGATCGTACGCGAAATCTCGCTGAACTTTTCGTCTTCAAATGGCAAATTTCGGAATCTGCGTGATTGCGTGGGTCGAGCGAACATAATGGAGTGTCGGATCGACATAAGAAAAAACTACAATTGAATGTAACGAGAGATTGTAATTTGATTTCTGTATTCAGACTTCCATCTCTGTCCTCCTCGGAGGACTTTGTTACAGTCATTTCATTTCGGTATGTTTAAGTTCGGCGTTATTTTTATCAAAGGTCCATTTCTTTCAATGTAGATTAACTTTAATCTTAGTTATATTTATTCTTTTTCTAATTCTCTTAGAACTCTAGAAGAAGATAAAAAAGTAAGTTGAACCGACATTAAAGTTAATTTACATCAGTAGAAATGGACACGATTCGTGTACAAAGAAATCCTTGGAGTAGATTCGACTCGCAGCGACTTCGCGAACGATTCGCTATTCTACGTTAATTATAGATATCTGCCTATCGCAATGACAACGTCATCGCCTACGTAATATCACAGACAATCGTAAATATTATCTCATGACGACGGGTAATTGTGACGACACAGAGGCTACATTGATTTTACAAACGGCTTTACGAAACGATTCCTCTAAAACGTCGTCCATTTGCGCTTTCGTAAATTCAAAGACTATATTCCCTAGTACTCTTATAGTTTTTCAAATCTAAACGTGGTTTTTCTTAACCTAACCGTTCATTAGCATTAAGACTGTATTTCTCAAAAAATATTCTTGCATATAAATCAAATATCGGAAGAGTTATATGTTTATTAATTATAAACGTTTATATAATCGTTTTTTTTTTTGGATATTCGAATTTTTACATTTTCTTTGAAAATCAAATAGATGATTATAAAGTCAAAGTCATTTTATCGATGATCAGAAACTAAACTGATCTCGTATTAGTAACATAAATACCGATCGCCTTCGTTCTTCGGAATCGTTTGATAACGGATCCGAATCGCGTCTCAAAAGGGATCGCGCGAAAATGCGATTAAAATGAAATTTTAAAACAACGCATTTTAAAAAGGGAACCGATGATACATTCATAGTACAAATTATATCTTATATCGGTGTTTCCGTTCGGAAAAAAGGGCACCGCCACGGGGTCGTAAACGCGCACGGGAAGGAAGCGTGGCCGGCGCTCATTAAACATTCAACGAGATCAGATCCGAGCCTCTCGATCCGGTTGCAGATAATAATTGGGTGCTCCCAAGGCCTCTTCGTCAAGGCGCTCGGGGGAAGCGAAGCGCGAACGAAAGGAAACGGAGGCGCTCCCTTCGCGGTCCCTGACACCGGAGACTGCCGTCGTCTCGAGGCTTCACAGGAAAGGCCACGGCATCCTGCTAGCCGGTCGGGTGCAGATCGGGAACATGGCGGTTGCCGGGTCGAAGTTAACGGTTGTTCCCCGCGAAAGACGCCGGTGCTGTCGACGACGACGATGACGACGACGACGACGATGACGACCGTGACGACGACACGAAAGCAGTCCTGCAGGAAAAATGCCGGTTGTTCCTGATCCTCTCTTTCCACCCCGTCGTCCTTCTCCATCTTCCTCTCTCTTTTCCCTCCTCTTTCTCCTCTTCCTCCGCTGCTCCTCATAGCGCTCCAGCTCTGGTTGGAACGTACGCCGGGATTGGTCACAGCTGGCTGCGATCGATGATGCTGGCTGCTAGGATTTAATGCCAACATGGCCTCGCGACATTACCGTCACTCGAATGCGGTGGTCAGCGTGCGCAATAATGATAATAACCCAAGAGTCCAAGCGGATCCCCTCGGGATCTCTCGATCGATCGCTTCTTGGCCCGGACACTCGCGGATCTGACCAATCCGATCGGATTCAGACCTGGCCTTTCAAGCGTCAGGTTCCTTTCAAGGTCTACCGGCTTCGTGCCGGTTCTAGCACACGGAGGAGCCCGGAAGAGCACGTCTTTCTGGAGGAAGAAAAGAATACAAACGCGCACCGGTGCATCTCCACACTTGGTAATTCGCCGCGGGATTCGAACACGGTGATGTCTCCCATACCCTCCTACGAGAAATCTCGTATCCGAGGGATATTATACCTCGAGCAGTCCTCGCGGTAAAGAGAACCGATGACGATCCTCCTCTCCTCGGACTCACTTGACTTGGCTTTCGGCCGTCCGCCGCGCAGACACGGCTGACACGACGCATAACTGCGATACTACGGAGATCTCCTTTAGATCTCCTCCTCCTCGACGATCGGCAGGCTGCTGTGATGCACCAGCGGGCTGGTCCTAGCGGTGAACGCGAGAATCCAGTAATCCAATTCGCTCCTCTTCTCCATGAGGAAGGTCAGGGCGATCGGCAGGTCGCCGCCTTTCTGCCTCACGAGAAAACCCTCGTCTTCGTAACGCTCCACCGTCGTGTTCCTCAGATTCAGCACGCCGAGAGGCTGGCATATCTTCTTCTGCGGATAGATGACGGCGAAGTGCTCCACGCTGGTTCGATAGACCTTCACCTGCACACGCTGCCGATGACCGTTTGGCCCGATCAAGGTCATGTAACCACTCATGTTCTCGGTGTTCCAGCAAGAGTCCACGTTTGAGTTCTTCTGACTCGACTGATTGTACCGCAGGAAGTTGGAGTGAGATATGTCGGCCGGCATCCTCGCTTCTTCCTGCTCCTGCTTGCTTGCTTTTTTTATCCTCTTTCCTTCTCTCTCGTTCGCCTTGACGACGACTTTGCTAATTACCGTGGAAGGTCGCTGAACGTTTTCCCGTGTGCGAGATCTTATACACGAGATATCGAAGCTGCGTCGGCGAAAATGAAAGGGAACTTTTTTTTTCGGAAAGTGCGATACGTCTCGTTCCTCGTAATGATAAACGCTACGAAACTCTCTGATCGATCGCGCGCAGAGTACTGTCTGTGGAAACTTTCACCGCCACTATTTATAGAGGCGTGCGGCTCGGCGGTGCGCGTTTGCGCAGCGGCTTACTCGCCTGCTCCGAGAGCACCGAGAGGTGCCGTCGCCAAGCACACAGGTCTCCTCCGTGACGTTTCTGTAATACGCGCTATATACATCGTAAATCAGAATCGTAGCGTGTGGCGTCGATCGAAAACGCTGTATGTTGCAAGTTTTCCCTCGAATAGCGCTTCTGCGACGGAAAAACGCTGGATTGTCTTTTTGCGTTATATGTTCAGGAAGACGTAACACTCTCGTCCGGCCCATTATTCCATAATTCCATCCTGAATTGTTTTTGAGATTGATGATGCTCCTTCCCGCATTTACATAAGCCACTTGCTATGCAATTCATAATGAAAAACTAAATATATTTGAATCTCGAGATATATAAAATTCTGTGACATAGTTGATAGTAATGTATATTCAATACAATAATGTATTTTTATTACATAAAGAATAAAATATATGTTATGAGATAAGAGTATATATAAAATATGAAAATAATAAAAATATATAATAAATCATTTGTTTACGCTTTAACATTACTTATATTATTTTTTTATACAAATTCTCTTAAATATTTTGAATATTTAATAACTAAATAACACACACACACTAAATTTTATGACTATGTAGGTACTTATATATGTATACTATAGATGAAAATTTAATACTGGAAAAAATCTGGTTGCATTTATTAAAGTTTTAATGAAAAAAATGAACAAATCGAAATTTTATAATTAAATTCAATTACAATTCTAGTCAAGATAACCAGATGAAGTTAAGATGAACAGAATTCTGATTGATCGGAATCTATTAGTTTGTTCATTTTCAATTAAAATTTTTTCATTATAAAATTGCTTAAAAATGTGTTACATCTTAAAATATTACCAAAAATATAAAAATGTCATAAATTATTTCATTATTATGTCTAAGTATCTGTGAATATTTTAAGCACAAAAATTATTTAATTATTTAATTTTGTTTGTTTGCTTCGAATTTTATGAAAAATTGTGTATTGTACTATTCATTTTGTAAATATGAGGAAGCATTATACATGAATTAAATTAAATTTTTTATATATACTAAAATAAAACTCTAATAAATATTGGTGCAAAAATTCATTCGAATCCATATATATATATATATATATATATATTCCATTATATATACTATATACTCCAGTTAAAAGATATTTACCTGTAGCAAGATATAGCCATCGTACAGCATAAGCAATTATAGGCCAAATTATTTGTTGTTTTGTTTTTTGCAGTTGGTTTCAGGAAGTTTTCGCGATTAAAATTTTTTTGTTGATATTGGCTCTTTGGCTAATTTTTTGCTGATACTTTTAACTGATATATATTTTTAGTTAAAATATTTAATTTTAATTATTACATTATTTTAATTATTATAATTTTACTGACTTCATTTACTGTTTCCTTTATTCATAAATTGCAATTATATACATACCATTTTATTACAGTAAGACAGTACTAGATTGCAAGATCAACATGTACATTTAAATTTTGGCGTCGTGGAATGATGTTAGATAAAAGATGAATATGCATCACGAATGCACAGAATGCACGCAATTCGTTGTAGTTCGTGTTGTGCGCAATGCAAGCGTGAGACTGGCGGGACACATTGCGTCGTTGAAACATATAAAGTGATAATATCGTGTAACGATAATTCATCCATTGTCAACGGTAAGATAAACGTAGCGACGTAACCTGATTCTCGCGTTCTTTAGATTGTATTTTTTTAAATGCTATTTTTTCCACCAGCTCGTTTCCTTTTCATGATACAATAGCTAAGTATAATAGTTAAGTATAATTTGTTCTTTTTTAGTATATAACTATAAGTACTGACATTCAAAAGCAACATTTTTCTTCCGTTTATCCAGCGTATTAAACGCTATTTTCAAACTAAATGACAAGTAGCGCGTTTAGTATGATAAAAATATTTTTAAAAACGGCTATATTTAGCAATAACTGACGTCAATTGCTATACTCTAAAACAAATATCTTAACTTCAAAAGAATCTTAATTGATTAAAAAAAGAATTTTTTTGCGTAGAAATCTGTATTTTACATGAATACATTACATTAAAATTAAGTACATATTTAATTTTAATTAATAAATATTTATTTCGTTTAGAACAAAACGTTTTATTTTATTTAGTAAATTATTATTTGAAGAAGGAAAATACCATTATGTTTAAAATAAAGGATAAACATTATATACCTAAATTATTAAAATTAACGATAGTAATAAATCACAAATGTTTATTGAATGTTATAAATTAAACTTTACTTATTGTTAGCGAATATCACATTATTTGCTTATTTATAAATTTACACAGAAATAATTTTTAACTAAATAAATACATTTCATTAAAATTAAATATTTTAACTAAAATAAATATTTATTTTATTAAGAAAAATATTTTGTTTTATCTAATGAATTACTTGAATTACTTAAAGTTCTTTATTTAACAAAGACTATTCATTATAGATAATATAAAAGCTAAGGCTCAAATAATTTATAAGATTAATATAATAAAAATAGGGCTACGAGCCAAGCACGGTCTTAGTGCTGAATTATCATAACAATATATTTCTACAAACATTTCGTACAATGACCCTAATTGGGTCATTTTCAATGTTAAAATTAATACAATATAAAAATCATATAATCATTTAAATAACAAACTTAAAACAACACATATAACCTAATTTAAAAACTAATATAAAAGATTATACGTCGTATATGTACATTATTGTAGAAGTTATGAAAATTTATCAATATGAAAATGTGGAAACGCCAGAGCAGTATTAGTCGGTATACGAAACCGACTATTCGTTATATTTTAATTTAAATATGGATTTAATTTTCATTATTTTATTTTAAAAAAGAAAATATTTATTTAAAAATAAAAAATTGTTTATTACAATGAAAAGAATGTATTTTTTTAAAAAGAAGCAGTTAAGAAACAAAGACATTATATAGTACTTTAAATAATTCGATATATTTAAAATAAGGAAACAAATGTAATTGACATTATTAAAACAAAAAAATACGTTTTAAAATTGTGTGCCTTCATTCCATTGGCCATAAAGAAACATATTTTTTAATTTCAAATTCATGCTGTCAACTACATTAGTTTTTTAAATTTAAATATATGGAATTTTTTTCTTCTAAGTGGAGACGCCAAAAAGATATGAATTAGTCATTTTAAAAAACCGAGTTTACAAGATATTTTATACCTTAGTTTGACACATATTGACATAAAATGTTAAATAACTTGTAAACTATTGGTTTTTCAATATTTCTACTTTAATCCTTTTACACGAACTAATTAAAGAAATCATATAAAGGAAAAAAAGGTCATATAATTACATTTAAGAAAACGAAAGTAACCTTTGTATATCTATAAGGTGCCTCCACTTACAATTAGAAAAAAAACATGATCAAAATACGTTCCTCTCGAAATGGTTCCGCTTTACCTGCAACATTTCTCCGTATCATAAAAAAAAAGTGAAACATTCAAGTTAAGTGAACTACCCTGTATATAGAAGATGCTAAAACAATAATTACTTAATAATAACTTGATAACTAAAATAGATGTTGAGAGTCAGCGTTGAACAGTGCGCAATATTAAAAAATTATTTACTTCAGTTATTGTAAATATCATGCATAAACAAAATTTTTGAGATAAAAAATTTAAATACAATACGACCAAGAAAAATTGACTAAAATCTAAAATATTTTTAATAAATGATTTTCTTCACA